CCCCTAACAGCTGAGCAACTTTTGTCTTAAACTTAAGGGCTCTGAAATATTCCAATGGATTGATTAAAATGAGCCACTCTGTATATTAATAAATATATTAAATATATTAAATATATTATATTATTTATACATTTATATTGTCGAAGCAACACACATATATGTTCTACGAAAAATGCCTTATTATAAAAGCTCTTCTATATGTAAGTCCAATGCCATCTTCTTCTCGATTGAAAACAGCCTCGAATACTTCATTCCGTATATATTCTTGTTCAATTTCCTCGAATCCATGGTGAATACATATATTATGCAAAACAGCAGTAGCACAAATAACTGCAACCGATGTACTTAGTTTTGTTCTTAAACCGTAGTATAAGCATGGAAAGCGGCGCTTCCAAACTCCGAATAGCTGTTCGACAATAACTCTGGTCTTCCTATGTGCATTATTATATCTAACTTCTGCATCGTTATCAGGCCTTAATACAGGAGTCAGTAAATATTTTCTACATGCGTATCCACTATCTCCAAGTAAAATCCCGTCGAGGTATCCCAATTCGAAACGACACCGAACACCGCTTTGATCAAAGTTTACAGTATCGTGCGCTGAACCAGGATGTCTCACAACAATGTCCAAAAATTTCCTTCGAGGCCCGCATACAACCTATAACATACAATGAATATTTTAACTCACTTTATCCTGTTCTTTTCATACTAAATACAGCAATTGAACGACATACCTGCACATTCAAAGAAAACCATCCTTTCCGATTCCGAAACACCTCTCCATTATTTCCTCCAGGATTGGCAATACGTATATGAGTACAATCGATACATCCTATTATACATGGAAAATTCGCTATTTCATAAAATCTATTAGTATTTTGCCTTTGATGCTGTTGTGTAGAGAAGTTTATGTATTGCCCTACATAGGAGGCTAAAATTCTTGACACTCGTGCAACAATACGCAATACAGATGCCTAATATCTCCGTTAACAATCTGAATAAAAAGTACATTAAATATATGAGAAAGATGTATACTTGATAAGCAAAAAATAAAATTTACATACATACTTGAAAGCTACTTGTTGCATAAAATCGTACAGTTATTAAAAGTTGCATCAACGGAGAAACCGGTAGTTCACGATTATTGAATCGCCTTAACCGAGCATCTACCAGAGGTAATAAGGTCTCGATCACAGCTCCTTTGCTGAATCTGTATCTTTTCCGAAAAGGAATATCTTCAAAAAATTCTACGGGATTTTCCCAATCGCGAATGTATCTTTTCGGAATCCGCCACAGAATCCGATTCTCTGGATTTTCGTCTCCAAATCCATCGTCAGAATCATTTAAAAATTCATTGTCCATTATCTCTTTTTTTCTTTATACACTTTCAGTTTGAGAGCGCGACAACAAATAACCACAAAACCACAGATTGAAATGTAATTCAGTTTGACGCGACAACAAATAACCACAAAACCACAGATTGAAATGTAACGAAACTAACTTTTGGAAGTTATATTTCGTTATATTCTGCGTATCGTCTGCTAAAAAGGTCGCATCCATTCCTCAAGGAAGCTCGTGACCTTCCTTGAGATAAGGGAGCCAATCAGAATCCTTGTTCGGTCAAGGAAAGTTTATGAAACGTGGAATGAGGAACAAGGAATCCTTATTCCTCAAGGACGGACTATGAATACGGGTATAAATCTTTATTTCGCGGTTTGTCACGTACATTTTGACTAATGTCGATTATTGCATTTTTTTTCGTCTAGACAGAATGTCAAATCTCAGGTAGATCGCAAATGTTTCTAATTATATGCAGTTATCCAAGTATGTTAGTGCAATTTAACCTTAAGGATTTTCCTTATATTTCACGATTTCGTATATTTTGACACCTAGAAGGGATGATGTCGCGAAGCAGCCGCACATCGGCGCTTGAAAAGATATATTATGCATATTCGACTAAATCTCACATCTGAGAGTGATGTCATCTCAACTCTGGTGCATCGCAAAAGTTTTAAATTACTTGCATATTAGCATAATTTAATCTTGATGATTATCCTTATATTTCGCAATTTTGACATGCGCGTTTCGGATATCATCGCGAAGCAGCTGCATATCGCCGCTTTAAAAATTTATATTACATTGCATTTATTTTGCATTCAGCTAAATCGCCACCTAGGGGTGATGTCATCGCGAAGCAGCCGTACATCGGCGCTTGAATAAAAGAATTGAAAAAATATCGCGTCAGCAATAATCTCCACTACATTGCAATTTTGCGACGCTAATACATATTTTAAATATGTTTAATACGTTCAGTATTGCATTGATCACTTGTGTAAAAGGTTCATATCAAAATGTATCCCACTGAAGGAAGCCGCATGAATTATTACGTTCCGATTCAACGACGATGAAACTTCACCGTATAAGAAAAAGAAATGTAACAAGTAAGTTTTAATCAACTTAAAAAATTATATACTTTTTAAATATTTTTAAAAATAATATTTTATTTCTCTCTAGCATTTCATCCCAGCCTCGTCGTGCGGTTCGTATACTTGGAAGACGATACGCCTTAATCCCGACATCATACAAATATTTGGACATTGGAATAAACATTGGAGCTGTATCTTGCGTGGAATTGGTTCTCGGCGACAATCGAGGCAATCAAATAATATTGCCTTCTGAAATCGTTGATGCAGAAACGTGCGGACATTGAACGATTTCTACAATCGACAGAAACCTCATTGCGGATTCGGGATTTAACAATCGAAGTGATTAAAATGTCTGATTCGAATATTATAAAATTGGCATTATCCAATAATTCTTTATATATGAAACCATCAACTCTATTATATTTATTCGATTTTGAAAAATGCATAGATCATATGTATTACTGGTTGTGCGAAAATACGCATATTGTGAATAAAAAATTAAAACAATTTGTAATTGTTTTACAACGTAATAATATCGCTAATGTATGCGACGCGCTCTGCTAAAGATGTAGAAAAAATGATGAGGTAGATGAGACGTGATACTCCAGTTAGAAGAAGACAAAAGATATGAAATTAAAATATATATAATCGAGAGGAGTGTGCAGTTATAGTACGCAACCGTCTACGTCCTTACGACGATCTTAACAATATGTGTTATGGCTAATGAAGAAGTTATGGTTAGGTTATAGTTATGGTTATTGATGATGACGAGGATGTCATTCTCGAAGATGACAACTTGATGGCATTTGAGAATTTGTTGGACGATTCATCAGACGAAGACCGCGTACTTTCGGAGGATTCCGATTACGATAGTGACTGCAGTATTGATATTCCGGAGGACATAAAGCAACGTACTTTAAACCGAGTTGAAATAAATAGTTTAGGTGCGGTGAAAATGTGCTGTATATACTTTTATTATAAAACTGACGTCAACGAAAAATTTTACACAAACTGTTTTATGCGAATTTCAGATTTATTTTCGAATATTCGTGTTGTGCGAGAACATGAAAGTGCAATTTATGAACTAATCCTGGGATCGTTTTGCAGAGAGTGTAGAAAACCACTGTATCAGATAATGCCCTGCAATATGTGCCCAATTTGCACTGTATAAGCTAGACAAAAACTTGTGTTGTGAAAAGATTTAAATAGGAAATATGGAGAACTCCAAACATTTTGCGCGAATAGAACAATTTCTATGGAAGTTTTACATAAAGGTGGACGATGCGAATTCATGCGAGTTATGGGAAAACGAGTGCCTTAAATGTCTCGAATGGCTGGAAAAACAGTATCGACTCGAGATATTACAACAGGGGCATGGAATTCAATCGCTGGTTAGCAGAATCGCGCGACTTGGGGGTTTAAGACATTCGTTACGCAAACGTTACAAACCCGTAGATGTCTGTGTCCCGGCGCTATCGACAAACACTCTTGTTAATTCGATTGTACAAATTGTACAAGGCCGAGAAATCGGCTTGAAGAAATCTCGTACAATATTTTTGGACCATTGTCTGAGGGATCATCGTAAAATGATGTTCAAAGATTAGGAAATATAAAACGCAGCTGACACCTCCTTATGGACGAGAACCGCATTGAAATACTCGAAGAATTAATTGTAAGTATCTTTTTTAAAATTTCATAACATTTAAATTAATATACTAATAAAATTTGATTTCTTTGTCTGTTTCAGATGGAGCGTCACCCTAAGATTTTTATTATTATATTATACATATTTTATATTGTCGGAGGAGCCTGTAACCTCTAGGCAACGCGTCCCCAAGGTGGCGGATAGGGAAAAGCTCGACAGACTTGCCTGTAGGGCAGAGATGAAATAAAATAGTCTCCGCGGACCAACAGGCAATCACCAACACGCCCGGCAAGCGTGGTGATTTAATGCCAACTCCTTCCAAAATGTGAAATGTCGAAATTTAAAACGAAACTACCCCAGGCGAGTAGAGCACGATGCTCAAAATCTCGCACTGGTCTGCCAGTCTGCCTCTAGGATTCTGGGGGAAGCACAAATTCGATTCCAAAGAGGAAGGAACACAGAGAAACACTCACACTCGCGACCTACAATATCCGTACCATGAGACAAGAAGATCATCTCGAGATGGTGGAACAAGAGCTCCGACAAATCAAATGGGACATCCTGGGAATATGCGAAACCCGATTAAAGGGAGAGGCTAGGACAACACTGAGATCCGGACATCTCCTATTCCGAAATAACTCAATCAGCAATGCCCACAACGGAGGAGTAGCTATCATGGTACACAGAGATCTAAGACACCTAGTAACTAAGACATGCTCCATATCAGAAAGGGTAATATACATCCTGATCAGATTAAATGACCGTTACACCCTACAGGTGATCCAGGCCTACGCGCCTACTAATGCCGCAGAGCACGAGGAAGCCGAGCAATTCTACGAGGATCTGACCGCCGCAAAAAGAGCAGAGAATGCCAAGTTCATCGCTGTGATGGGCGACTTCAATGCAAAAATTGGACCTAAGACACCGACGGACCCAACAAACATAGGACCGTATGGGTTGGACAGCAGAAACGAGAGAGGTCAGATGTTGTTGAACTACCTCGGCACCGAGGGCCTCTTTTGTATGAATACCCATTTCAAGAAGTCACCTCAAAGGAAGTGGACGTGGAAAAGCCCAAATAACTTAGTCAAAAATGAGATCGACTATATTCTCACCAATAACAAATCAATCTGCAAGGACGTCACCGTTCTAAATCGATTCGACACCGGGAGCGACCATCGACTGGTCAGAGCAAAGATCACTATCAATACGTAAGCTAATAAAAAAGAACCCTTATCCGACCTCGATGGAATTGGATCAGAAGAAACTCGAATATCAAGAGATTATCCGGAAGAAGCTGGAACCAACGGACGCCCTCGGACCGATGACTCTGGACGATATAACAACGAAATTTACAAACAGCATCCAAGTAGCCACGAAAAAAGCTTGTGCCCATGCCCAGCCAAGGAACAACAAACTGAGTACTAACACTATGGCCCTCCTGGATCGTCGGAATAAAGACAGAGAGGAGACTGGCTACCAAGACCTCAATAGAAACATCAGAAAAGAAATCCGGAAAGACCTAAGGAACTACAACACCCAACTGGTTCACCGCACTATCGCCGACAACATCAACATGCGAGTTCTCAAATCTAAAATGGCTGGAGGAAAAACCCATATCTTCAAGATCAAGAACGAGAAGGGAGAAATCATCAGTGAAAAACCTGTTATAGCCACCACCATTCAAAACTTCTACCAAAAACTATACAGTAGATAATCTCAAAGCCCAATCAAAACGGACATAAAAAAAAAGATTCAGAATGTGGGCTCCGAGGATATACCGGAGATCGACAGAAGCGAGCTTAGAGCTGCGCTGAAACGAATGAAGAACGGAAAGGCCCCGGGAGAAGACAGAATAACAAGTGAAATGTTAAAAATGGGAGGTGAAACACTGGAAGATGCACTATTAGTCCTCATGAACAAATGCCTAACAGAACGACGGATACCAACGCAATGGCGGAATGCCGTGTACGAACGTAGAAAATTATCGACCCATCAGTTTGTTATCCATCTTATACAAACTGTTGATGAGAATAGTCACAGATCGCTTGACGAACAAATTCGACTTTTACCAACCAAGCGGGATTCAGAAGAGGCTTTAGTACGATAGATCATCTCCAGGTCATGCATATGCTGATCGAGAAGACGGCAGAATATAACATTCCTTCATACCTGGCTTTTGTCGACTACCAAAAGGCCTTTGACCCAATTGAAACATGGGCAGTACTGGCGGCAATGGACAAAGCAAGAATCGACTCTCGATACTCAAATCTCATTCAGCACATCTACGATAATGCTACACTTCAAGTCAAAATAGAAGATGATCTAATTACGGAGAGGATCTCAATCGAAAAAGGGGTTCGTCAGGGAGACACAGTCTCTCCAAAACTGTTCACCTTAGCTCTGGAGGACATCTTCAAGTCTCTCCGCTGGGAAAAAAAAGACATAAACATAGACGGAGTATATCTGAATCACCTAAGGTTCGCCGACGATATAGTCCTCATAAATAGCAAACCCGAAGGCTGAGGAACATGCTCGAAGAATTGGATGAGACCTCAATAAAGGTGTGTTTGAGGATGAACATGCAGAAGACGAAGATTATAAGCCCCGACGCAATACAGTGTACGATCAAACAACAAACCCTGGAAGTGGTTGACCACTATGTATACCTCGGTCATAACATCAAGCTGGGGAAAGAAAACCAGGCGGAAGAAATAACTAGGAGAATGGGACTTACATGGGCGGCTTTCGGGAAACTCGGCTTTATTCTTAGAGATCGGACAATGCCCATCAACTTGAAGAGGAAGGTATATGAGTCATGTGCTGCCGGTGACAACTTACGGCCTAGAAACCACAGCGCTTACACAAAATAGCGCAAACAGACTTCGAGTGTGCCAAAGAGCGATAGAAAGGGCGATGTTGGGAATCAGCATACGGGACCGAATGCAGAACGAAGAGATCCGAAAGCGCACTAAGGTGACGGATGTAATAGGGCGGATTGCCAGCCTGAAATGGCGTTGGGCAGGACACGTCGCAAGACAGGACGAGACGAGATGGCCGAAACGAATCGTACAATGGAAATCCCGGACCACGAGGAGGAACGTGGGAAGGCCACAACTGAGGTGGATGGATGATATTTGGAAAGCCGCAGGAAAAAAGTGGCTACAGATAGTCGACATGGAAAAGGATGGAAGAGGCCTATCGTCCAGGAGTGGACGAAGAGAGGCTGAGGAAGAAGAAGAAGAAGAAGACATATTTTATATCTTTTGTTTTTTTATATTTTTATATTTTTATATTATTATTATTATTAATTTTATATTTTAGACACACACACACACACACATTTGTATAATACACACAAATGTTAAATAAAACTTATTATTATATATATAAAAAATGTCATTATTTCTGCGCCTTCTTTTCTTTTCCTACACGCGAACGCCTCGTGCTATCTCTTTCTCTCTCTCTCTCCCAAGTGCCTGCGAACGCCATCCTTCTCCCACTCCAATGCGAACGCTATCCTTTTCCTACTCGTGCGCTATCTCTCTCTCCCAAGAGCATGCGAACGCTATCCTTTTCCCACGCTAATGCGAACGCTATCCTTTTCCTACTCGTGCATGCCTCGCGCTATCTTTCTCCCACACATTGCGAACGCTTTGCGCTATCCTTCTCGCACCGCCTTGCGAACGCCGTATCTCGCATCATCCACGTGCATGCAGATCATTAGCAATATCCTTGTCGCACGCCTCGCGCTATCCCACTCATACCCACCGTCTTACGAACGCTATCCTTGTCGCACCGACTTATGAATGATATCCTTCTCACACAACCTCGCGTACGTCTCGCGCTATCCTTCTCCCACACATTGCGGACGTCTCGCGCTATCTCTCTCACACCTACTCGTTGATGCATGCGTTTCCTGTTCCCCGCGGACCCCTCATCTACCGGTTTCGCCGGGGTACCCCTCCCCCTCCGCGGACCCCTCGCCAACAGGTTTCATCGCGGTCCCCCTCTCCCCCGCAGCGGACGTCACGCCTACCGGTTTCGCCGCGGTTCCCCTCCTCCCTCCGCGGACCCCTCGTCAACCGAATGTGTCGCGTTCCCGCGCGTGACGTCATACCCCGCTGCACCAGTTTTCCCTCGCCAGTTAGAACCGGCCTTACTACACTACTATCGTTGTAAGACATGTCAGTATCTACATGATCGTTGTATACATGTTTCAAGTTTGTACCATCTTGTTTAAATAAAATCAGTAAATTCGCATTGTCCCGTATAAGATGCTTGAGTATCTTGGCATACGTTGACAAAGATAGAAACAGTCGACGTTCGAGTGTCGATCTATTGCAAAATACTCTCTTATCGCACGCTACGTCATCAATAATAAAAATGGAATTCGAAAGCGCCTCGATCGGTGGAATAACATCACTATTATTGGAAAATGTAAAATAACCAATTTCGTCAATCGGTGACAGCAAATTTTCCAAGTATCGATATTTCGGTTGTTGAAACGATTTCGAGTATACGTACACATTCTCGAAACGTACACCGTGTAGACTTTTTATCAAACTTATCAACACGTTAGTCTTACCGCAATTCGAAGGACCGCAAATGATACCGCGTATAGTAGTCGGCAGCATGTTTCCATGCTTGCGTATTTCAATCTCGGACATTAAACGTGTTTTATCGTCAAAATTTGTCACTTTGATTATCGTCGCTTGTCGCACGAACCGCATGTTTGCTCTCGCGAATCTCAAATCAGATTTTTGGAAAATGAGTCATCGTAGCCCTATTTACAGAGGTGCGAAATCGAAACCGCTCAGACTCGAAAATGTTTCTTCTTCTGTCAGTTAACAGCGATATTCTCGAGCTTATCACCGAGTAGTTACAGATTATCCCCAAGATTGTTTTACTGCGAGACTTTGGTAGCTACGGTTTGTTAAATCGTGCAATAAACGCACTTCCTATCGAAATACATATTCCTGGCTATCAGATTTGCGGACCGGAAAATCATTTAGAAACACGATTGGCTAGAGGCGATCGAGGTATCAATCCATTGGATGCCGCGTATCGCGAGCACGACATAGCTTATTCTCGAAGCAACGATCTCGGTCAACGACACGTTGCGGATAATATACTCGCCGTAAAAGCGCGAACACGTATTACCGCGAGAGATTCGATTCTTGGCGAAAGAGCAGCCGCTACAGCTTTTTGGGCGACTATGAAAGCAAAGACAAAATTTGGTATGGGGATAAAAACAAAAAAATCATCGATGAAAAAAAAGACTGCGAAAAAACGAATACTTCCTATAGCGAAGCGCGGTGGTATCTTACCCATTTTACCATTATTGGGAGTTCTCGGTTCATTGGCTGGCGGAGCAGCGGGAATCGCGAAGGCGGTGAACGATAGCAAGGCGGCGCAACGTCAGCTCGAAGAAATGCAACGTCATAATCGCGCCATGGAAGGTCACGGACTTTATCTCGCTCCATACAAGCGCGGACGAGGGTTCTTAATAGCGGCCAAGAAAAAAAAACGTCAAAATGAAAAAGACTGCCGGTGTAACAACCAATGTACAATTGGAACAACTTGCAAGACGTATGCGTATACAATTTTTTAGAGGCGTTTTCATGCGCAATAATTTACCGATAAACGGTTTACGGCAAAATGAGAGCGGTATCGTCAATTTGGATGACGTCGATGGTTCCGGTACTCATTGTGTTGCGTATGCAAAGAGGGGAGATCGTGTAGTATATTTCGATAGTTTTGGAAATCTTCGACCGCCCAAGGAATTAGTGTGATATTTTGGACAGAATGTTGCAAATATAGAATACAATCACACGGCCTATCAAAATTATAACCAAAGTATTTGTGGACAATTGTGTCTTCGATTTCTTCAAACGGTCGATGATCGATATGAATTTAAAGCCTGACAATTCACCGTCGCGTCTTAGTATTCGTTTGACAGGTTTCCAGCATGTCACTCACATCTACGTTGACCAGCAAGAGTAGCGTTCTTGCTGTAAGCTACTTTCCGGCTATAGATTTAAACGATGGCGATTACGAGCTTGGTTTAACGGACTTTGAAACTTATCATACGATATCGAACGTGATTTCTTGGAATAATAAATTTTATTTTGATAACGACGATAAGGAAATTACGATTCCCGAGGGATCGTATGAATTACAAGCTATAAACTAATATCTCCGACGTGCAATTTTACGACATCGACGCGTAGTTGA